AGAGAGAGAGAAAAGAGGGAGAGAGAGAGAGGGAGAGAGAGAGACAAGAAACGGGAGGAGGGGATAAGGAAATTAAACCCTTTAAGTCAATGCATATTGTGGTGACACCGGCACAGGAGCCCTCACGGTGGAGTCGGCCAGGGCTGTGCGTTCCCAAAATATGACCAGGGGTGCTTGGATGTGTCGGCAGTATGACGACGGCTTAAAAATCTGGTTGGCAGCACCCCGGGAGAACGAGAAACCGTTCATCGATTCAGAGAGGGCTCAGAAATGGCGACTGTCTCTGGCATCTCTCTTGTTTTTCACAGTCCTGCTCTCTGATCACTTGTGGTTCTGCGCCGAGGCCAAGCTGACCCGGGCCCGGGACAAGGAGCAGCAGCAGCAGCAGCGGCAGCAGCAGCAGCGACAGCGGCAGCAGCAGCAGCAGCAGCAGCGGCAGAGGCAGCAGGAGCCCTCCTGGCCCGCGCTCCTGGCGAGCATGGGGGAGTCCTCGCCCGCCGCCCAGGCACACAGACTCCTCTCCGCCTCCTCGTCCCCCACCCTGCCCCCCTCCCCGGGAGACGGCGGCGGCGGCAAGGGCACCCGAAGCAAAAACAACCGGGGCAAGGCTCTTTTTCTAGGAAACTCTGCCAAACCTGTGTGGCGCCTGGAGACTTGTTACCCCCAGGGCGCCTCCTCGGGCCAGTGCTTCACGGTGGAGAGCGCGGACGCCGTGTGCGCCAGGAACTGGAGTCGGGGGGCGGCGGCCGGGAGGGAGGAGCAGCAGGTGAGGGGGACGCAGCCAGCTCCTCTCTGGAACTTGTCGGATTTTTACCTTTCGTTTTGTAATTCCTACACACTTTGGGAGTTATTCTCGGGGTTGTCCAGTCCCAACACTTTGAACTGTAGTCTGGATGTGGTGCTCAAGGAGGGCGGTGAGATGACCACTTGCAGGCAGTGCGTCGAGGCTTACCAAGACTACGACCACCACGCTCAGGAGAAGTACGAAGAGTTTGAAAGCGTGCTCCATAAATATTTGCAGTCGGAGGAGTACTCGGTGAAATCGTGTCCTGAGGACTGTAAGGTAGGAACAGTGGTTTTATCCTCCCCCAATTTTGCGCTTTTCTATCTCTGTGTGTTTGGTTGGGGTGTCTTCTGGAGTTTTAAAATAGTTTTTGGACTCTGGTTTTGTTACTTCAACCGTTGTTTTGTGGTTGTAAGAGCTTGACTTGCTGCTTCATTTGGGACTAAATCATGGATTGCTGGTGCACAGGTGCCTTCCTCAGGGAATCCTTGGAAGATCAGGAAGACCAGGGTCTTCCCAGATAATAAAGCCCGTGCTTTAACTCTCTTAAAGCTATGAAGTTGGTTCAAACTCTGTTACCTTTTTTTAAAAAAATGGAATTTGAGTGAAGTTTGTTAGTAAGGCAGTGATGGGACTGCGTACTGATGACCCCCGCTAAAATCAGAAGAGTCAGAGATGTGCATTTATGATCTGGGTTATGGACTTGGACACAAAAACTCTCTCATAGCGACATCATTTTGCTGGTTGACCAAAGGGACAAGAGAAAGTGTTTGTGGTTCTTTATGTAGGAGGAACAAAAAAGCATTTTACTTGTTTTACTGGGATATTTCTGGCTGTTTGGAAAGTCTGGGGGTCTGCCTAAGTGTATTTACTCACATAAGTTTCCTGTGTTCTCTTAGAAATCTGTATGATTATTGATCAGAAACTCACTATTAGTATAAAGTTTTAATTAAGTATCTGGTGATCAATGATCAATGTTAGGTAATTTATCAGACACCTTACGTAATTAGCTCGAATTTTCAGAATGCTCTCCAGAAGTACTAATTGGCAAATGCTTGATGCTATGAATGAAAAATACTGAACTCTTTAATAACATATATTATATTCAACCTCTTCCAGTTGGACATAATAATAGCTATAATCCTTGCTGATTCACAAAGGAGAAATGTATGCAAATTTCGTAATAAATGGCTAATGCAACCACGGGTGCCTGTCCTGGTAGAAGTGTTGCTGTCCGTGGTGCTGAAGCGAGATTTGTTCAAGAGCTCTGTTGAAGATGAAGATACTGCAGTGACCTTTTAGAAGGGAAGAAATGATGACAGAATCTCAGTAAGCCTTCAGCCTTAATGTTTTGTTCCAAAGGCACTTTCTTAAACAATTCAATAAAACAATATTGCTTTTCAAAACAAATAATACACCACATTCTCTTTCTTCCTCTTCACCACTCCCTCAGCCTCCCCAAAGAAACCCAACAATTGTCCCTCTTTTGCCTCACTTGCTTTGTACTGAGGAAGTGTAAGCAAGGGCAGCATGGATCAAAGGATTTTGTGATGCTTTGGCAAGAGAACTGGCCTATGGGATATCTACTTAAAGTGAACATAGTTCAAGGGCTATATTTCACTTTGGATTGATTAGTTATGCTTTCGACAATTAAGCTAAACTCAAACTAAACTTGCTTTGCCAACATTCTTTAAGACCAGAAACATATATTCTTTGCAAGTAGTAATATTGAGTTTACAAAATTAATTTAGAACACTACTTTATTAGATAAATGGATTTTAACTTTCTTACATATTTTTCTTAACCTTATCCTTGTAAGTCATGCCTTGGGGTTAAACTTAATCTTAATGATAGAAGTTAATAATGAATGACTAGTGTATTTATTGCATAGTTTATTTATTTTGACAAGATACATTGCACCAGAATTGTAAAGGGAAGGATACTGACTTATCTGCTAATTTCACTGCTAATAAAAAGCTTGCAAGGGTTTCAGTGTATTTATGTTTGAAAGTGACCCCTTGAAATTATTTGTATTTGCTTGCTTCTTTTAATGTAAACTAATAGAAATTTCTAGTAATTCCAATTTGAATAGATTCAGTATTTAAAAGATAGTCCGCATTGTCAAAGGACTACATCACATTTTCAAATGAGCATGTCAAATACATTTTGTTTAAATATTGAAGTTTTAAATATATATATAAATGTTTATTTTTCCCGTGACCTGAAATAATTAGCAACTTTATACTTATATCATCATAGCTATAAAGTATAGTGTGGGTTAAACTACTTGTAGTATTATGAACTACTTCTGGATTGTGTTTTCATATAAAGTAGTAGTTGTATACACAATAGCACATTATAAAAATCTTAACTCCTTTTTAGGAACATTTTTTCACATTGAAAAGTGAACACAGACTGTTTTTTTATCCGCAAGATTTATTACCTGTGATGTCTTGTAGCTATTTCTTGGTTGGTTGTTTGTCAGTTGGAAATGCTTGAAACATTAGTTCTACAATAACTGTTTTCAAACAGTTTCAAATTTTAGGTGTGGGGGTAGGGTGTTCAGTGTTCTTGGTTGATAACTCACAAATCTGTTGATTAGCTCCTTAGCTTAATATGTAATTCTTTTATGATTCTGCAAAACCACAAACACATCCATATACAAAGTATATTACATATCTTAAAATACTACTTGTAGTTTTTAAAGAATGTGTCTGAATTTCTTTCTAAACACTTTTACTTATTTCAAATATACTTACAATTATGTAATGATGACTGTCATCAGGGGCATCATTCAAGATATAGTCCACAAAATTTTCCACATTTTAAGGTAACAACAAAGTCTTAGGCTACATTAAAAGTAAATGTATTATATTTCCAGAATTGGTAATGTAGTCATAAAAAATCCAATTTAACAGTTTATTAAATATATTTATAAAATTAATAGACAGGGGAATACAGGTAACCATATTAGTTATGCAAATTATTAGAATTCATATTTTAGAAGAAACAGTTTAACTTTATCATACCCATCTATAATTAAATGATTAATGTGGTGATTTCTGACTTTTAAAAATTAGGACAAATTGTTACTTTAAGTTTTATAATCTCCCCCATTAAAAAAATGATATTTTCCATATATGCATAAAATTAAAATGAATTAAATTTAATTTTTATTTAACTTGATTTAAGGCTTTTGGCCCATTATACTGAAAAAAAAAAACCCTTAATATTGATCAAATCCAATCATATTGTCTTGGGCCCAGAGTAACTGGAGATCAAATTCAGTTTGTATTTACTTTAGTAAAACTTTATTTGTAACATATAATAGAAATCATTTGCATCCAAGGGTATTTTTTAATATTCAGAGAAATAGCTGTTTTAATTTTTAAAGTAAATATACACCTTTATCTGAAAAGTAATTTATAGTAAAATAAAGAACAAGAACTTTTGCATCTATCATTCAAGCTGCTATATTACATAAATCAAGTAACCAAAATTATGATAATAATTTTTCTCTGGAGTTTGCAGTGCTATTCAAAATAATGTTTTTGATGTGTAATAAGGATCTGATGAATCTGTGTAAATCTTCAAGTTGGCTGGTAATATTAAAAAATGGAATATTCTAAACTACAAAATTGCATATATATATTATTAACATGCCTGAATTTTTACTTAGATTTTTTTTCTTAAATATGCCATTCTTTAGCTCCCAAGTATTCTTGAAATTACATATTATAAACCTGAGATATTTAGAGAATATAATTTTCTATGTTAACAGGTAAATTTTATTACTAATAGTTTTATTGACTTACTATTCCTTAAGACAGATGGTTAGGGAAAGCACTTTTAAGATTAGATTCTAACATAAATCATTACATCATTTGTGTTTTAGTTCTCTCAAAATAGATTCTAATCTTTATACTCTCAAGAATGTACACATTCTTATATTTCTATTTTATAATCTTATATTAAAGCAAATTATACTGTCTATTTTTATTTAACAGACAATGACCAAAAGAATACTCTGCCGATGTTAGGCAAGTATAACATTCGTGATATTCAGCGTTTTCTGTTTTGTTTGCAGGAATCACTCAGAAATATTAACTATTTTAAGAACATAGAGTTTGGGTTATATAATATGCAATTAAAAAAAAGCCATTTCTTAAGTTTTTATTTCTTTTGATGTCAGACACTATAGATTCTTAAAAATAGTTTTTTTAAGGAAATAAAATATCTAATAATTCTTTCCACTTAAATACTGAATATAAAATATTATTTTGCTGTTAATTGGTTAAGTGCTCTTGTACATATTTTGACACTGTTAGAGTGTGGAGTGCATCTGCAAATAGATCTCTTTTATATTCTACCACTTTATTATTTTCAAGTCATATTTTCATATTTGCTTCTCTGCAAAATTGAACAGTCAAACCTTCAGATAATCACTTTAACCATTAATACTTCTGTTGTAGTGTCAAAGCCACTATTATAACCATTTTTATGGCCCAGATTTTTATTTTTCATATTTTTGCTCCATATGTAACTACTGATTTGTAATCTGTTTTATTTTCATAGGAAAAACACCCCAAATTTTATCTTTATATATACTGCTGCTTTTTTTTCACATTTAAAAAAATTTTATTTTATGCTGTTGCTGTATAAACCAAAAAAGTTTTTTTTTTTTTTTTACTTTGGACTTGTAACTGGGTCAAATTAGTAGCTATATAGGGCATAACCACAAAGTTTTAATAATTGCTGTTATACATTGATTTTATTCACTTTAATTAGATGAGATTGGTGTCTGAGTATGCAGGGTGAATTAAAATATGAAGAAAAGAAAATCAAATAATGTTCTCAATCTCATGCTCTCCCACATATAAATCATAATCCATTAAGATACATTTTCATACTAGATTGAATACACAAGAACAAATATACAGATAACTATTTTAAACAAAATTCTATTTTAGTTTTAATTATGTGATCTGTTGCTTTAATTTTAATTCCCAGTTTTCTTTTTAATCTTAATCTTGTATGTCGACCTCTCAATGTCTAGGCACCGAACATGTCATTATTTGTTTGTATTGATTTACACTGCAAAGATATTTCTTAAATATTAGTAAATGTTTACTGTAGATCACTAGTCCTTGGGGGGATCACATTAAAATATCCTGTGAATATTTGAAAACACCCCCAGTCCCAAGAGATTCTGATTTCATTGGTTTGGCTTGTGTCATTAGCTTGGGATCTCCCAGTTTCCCTGATGATGTGCAGCCAAG